TACTTGTTACTTCCAGCATTCTCACTGCAGCAGCTGGTTATCTGCCGTCCTTGCAAAGGTTCACTGGCCTAGAGGCATATTAAGTGTGGCCCTAGCTAGCGCTGCACCACAGAGGGGAGAAGTTACACCTCCAGATGGTGGAGAGAACAAGCAGGTCCTTGTGAAATTAACTCCAATGCAGTGTCAGGTTAAGATATATCGTAGCCCTAAGGATGAAAATGTATAATGCCCTTCCTAAATATAATTCAAACTTAAAGGGATAAATGATCTGTGTTAGGTTAATAACTGTTTTCAAAGATACCTCCAGATCATAATGCTGGGAACCTATTGATGTTTCCTTATTTGCAAAAGGGTCTTTTCAGATGTGATTAAATTAAGGATTTTGAGATGGGATTATCCTGGATTTCCTGGGTGGGCCCTAATACCATCCCAAGTGTCTTTTTAAGACACAGGTAAAAAGAGAGATTAGACACACATAGAGGAGAAAGACAAGATGGGGAGACAGGTTGGAATGATGTAGCTTCAAGACAATGAATGCAGGAGGCAAGCAAGAGCTGGAACAGTCCAGGAACAGATTCTACCCAGAGCCCCGGGGAAAGCAAAGCCCTGCCAACGCCTTGACTGTAGACTTCTGGCCTCCAGAGCTGTAAAGAATAACCTTCTGTCATTCTAAGCCACCAAGTTTGTGGTCATTTGTTATAGCAGCAATAGGAAACTAATACACTAACCCATGATATAAATGTAAAACAGTACAACAAAAATGCTGGATTTTTTCTCCCTAGTTTAACTCTTTTATTGATTTCTTTGTTCAATATTAACTCTAGAATTTTATTTAATTTTTAAGTTAAGGAGAAGTTTGCTGAGCAGTTTTCAAATTGGACTAGTAGCCTAAAACATATCTAGACTCCACCAATATATTTGAAAAAGTCATGATATTATTGTAGATGAGATGGATATAATCAGAACTAGCTGATACCAAATTTGAGTGAGTTTGTAAAAGAATAAACAGTTCTACCAGAAAGTACTGGTGAATAATTATTGATGAACCCGCTGTGCAGTTCTGTTCTGTGCAATGTTTTTATCACAAATTTGGGTGATGGCATAACATGCCGACCTAGTCAGCAGGCGACAGGAAGGCTCTGTGCTGTCGAGAGGAGGGAACGCGCTCTTGACAGGCTGAAACGATAAGTTCAATCCAAGGAGATAAAATTTAATATAGAGAAATTTAAAAGTGTATAACCTAGATTTCACAAATTAACTGCACAGGTACAAAACAGGGGGAAAAAACTGCCATAAACACAGTCCGTGGCAAAATGAAAATAACATTAAATGCTGCTGTGTACCAGGTGTTCCCTAGACAGATAGAAGACAGTCGATAGATGACAGACAGGTAATTTCTCACAAATTTTGTCGGATTCAGGATCACACAGTTTTCAGATCTTAGTGCCAGATGAAAATGCAAAGCCAGTTCCTTAAAAATTAAGCATTTTAAGATGGCAAGAGCAGGGCGACACCGTGTAGACCCAGCCTTTACCAGTACAAGGCGATCTGAACTGATTTCATGGCTGTGTGTTTATCAGACGCCCAGGGAAAGGTCATAAAAGCCCCAGCTGCAGAATGGGGACGCCCTCACCAGCTAACCTGACGCGCATCAGGAAGCAGCCACTTTAAGGTATAAAACAAACAAACAAATCATCAGATTTTGCTGAGACGGGAAGTGAGAGAAAGAACAGTGTGGGAGCGGTGGGTGGTTCTGAGCACCACAGGGGACCAGAGTCCTCTGCGGCAGCCGAACCCTTTCCAGAGACCCCTGCCCGTGGCACCGCGCGGTCGCGGGCTCAGGGA